CCTCTGCCAATGACTGCACCATGTAACATCTCATATCTGGCCTCTGCCAATGACTGCACCATGTAACATCTCATATCTGGCCTCTGCCAATGACTGCATTATAAAACTACCAATGACTGTACTACATAACCTCTCAGTTCTAGCCTTTGCTAATGACCATATCATACATTATTTTAAACAATATCTGTACTGTCAGCGAATGGTCAACACAAACTCTTATACCTATCCTTTGATTGTGAATATACCACATAAGCTGTATTGTTAAACCTGTTCTCAGTCAATGACTCTACTGAACAAAAAGGACAAATCAAAATGTCCTAGAAACCCCATTATCAGTTGGTACTTGACAAAAGGTGCTATGTGGCTCAAACCATGGTAAGCTACAGTTAAGTAAATGGGACACTTGATTCTCAGATGAACTTCTGGCATTTGTACTCATCTTGTATCAGGACAAGTGAGCTCTGACATAACTGAGACATCAACTACTAAGTGTCAGTTAGCAGAATTTCTTCTCATATGGTAATATATAACATGAATAATCCCCAAATCCCTGTAAAAAAACTACTGAAACAGTAAGTGTAGGCAAATATAATTATCTATCTATCTATCTATCTATCTATCTATCTATCTATCTATCTATCTATCTATCTATCTATCTATCTATCTATTAATTTAAATCAGGGCTGGATAAATTCCAGGAGCCAGGTCGCCAATGCTCCTTAAAAGTTGCAGCTGGAGCCTAACTTTCAAGCCCCCCTTGCGGTGTGGTGGTAGCTCCCCGCTTGTTTATGTCTAGGGGTATTGTGTAGAGCAGTGGTTCTCAGCCTGTGTAACCTCAGGTCCAACATTTGTCTTTGGTCATTAACTTGCGACCCAAGTCGCCATGCAATGGAACGCACGGCATTGCGTCACCTCGCGTTCCGGAGCGGGCACTTGAACTGTGGGTGTGAGGTGCATTTCGGGGCCATTCAAATGAATGGCATCGCAGCGCCCCTCCCACACCAGAGTGAATAGTAGGTGCGATTGCATGGTGCAGTGCGTTAATCGCACAGGACTATTCAATTATCGCACTGTACTAGTGTAAATGCACCCTCAAAAACACTGACAGACACACACAACCACAGACACAATCTCACACACACATAAACACCTTTTTTTTTTTTAAGATTCCCCAATCTCCCTTCCTTATGAGAACTGGAGTGGATCCTCAGCCTGGGGTCCAGTGCTGGGCTGCTGTGCTGGAGCTCCATTCATATGTGTATTACTTGTACAACCCCCTTGTGCGCCCTGTAGAGATTCCGGGAGCCAGAACGTGACGTCACTCTGGTCCCGGCACCTCTACAGCACATGCGAGGGAGCTGTAAGCAATGCATGTGCGGATGGAGCTCCCCCGCAGCCATAGCTCCAGCCCACCCCAAAGTTGACACTCGGCGCCGAGTAGCATATGAATGGCTTCTTGGCACGAGAACTGACAGTGCTGTGCTAGGGGGAGGCTGAGAAGCCTCTCACCTAGAAAAGTGGAAGGCGCACAGTGAACCACTGAAAACGGGGTCGTGACTCACTTTTGGGTCACGACCCACCAGTTGAGAACAAAGGGTGTAGAGGACTTTTGCATACCTGATCTCCCAACCACCGGTGGTCGGTGCTCATTTCTCTCCCCTGAGAAAAGCCACCAACTCCTGGAGCAGAGGGGAGAAGAGGCTTCAGGTGCTGGTCTTGGAGCCAGTTGAAGCAGGATACAGATAAGTCCATTACACAGTACCCGTAGACTTAAACAAGCAGTTTACCCTTGCAGTGCAGGGGTAACCCCATTGCGATGGTATTTTTCTTTACCTGGAGATAGGATTTGAACAGTTACCGATTTTAAAAAGAAAACATCATAGCACCTTTTGAATTAAAGACACCATGTAGAATACCTTTCTTTCATAACACGTTCTGTTCCTAGAGTTCCCATTCTTACTTCAGATGCGCTTGGAACAATTTAAAACTGAGCTCTAGGCAAGCAGCTAAATGCACATTTGAGATACATACAATATATGGGCCCTCTATGTACTTGCTGAAAGACTTGTAATTTTGTGCATCCGGTCTTGTAGTCTAGGCACCCCTGCCAGACATCACAGCAAGATCCTTGACATCCAATTCAAATTGATTGGACATGAACGCCTGCTAAATGGACAGCGAAGGATCAGCAGTACACTAATGAGGGCATGCCTCTGCTCACTCTGCTCTCCTATCAGCATAGTTAGTGTTGGCTCATTTGGAGGCAGAACTATAGATGGCATCCTGTGCTGGAAGGCCTTCCTTCGAGGTAGTAGTTTACAGGAAGATGATATCACTACAGGCTATTTTTACAGACTGTTTGCTTCCATCTATCCATACATGTATAGATGTGCAAGTTCGGGTTGGTGCGCATCCTGTCACTGAGTTGGCGACTCAATGTGACTACTGTGACTGCCCATCAAATACTGTATTGAACCAGAACAATATTCTCTTTTTAATTGTTCTCACATTTTAACGAGAATCTTTCCTAAGAGAAATCAAGAGGACGCCATTGCTGACCTCTGAAAATACTAGTTTTCTGGCTTTTACCCTGATCTTCTGACCTGAAACAGGTACATATATCATTAAGCTCAGAAATGGGTCAACAGTTCTTTTCTGTGTACCCTTGCCAGCTCAGAGACTCAAACTGTTGAAGCCAGAGGGTCAGCTTGACAGCCAAGGCATTAATATACAGTATGCAATATCTAAAGTGAACAATGGTGGCTTCTATGTTATCTCAGAAAAGGTTTTTCTTAAATAAGAACTCTGGGAATTTAAAAAACTTACACTTGCAGTAGGGCTACCCCCACACTGCAAGGGTTAAAGCGGACCTTTAAACTCAAAAATCTAATTTTACCAATGCCTCCCTCTATGTATGATGATTAATAATAACATAGACATGTCAGGTGTAAAATGCTGTAATTATGAAATACTTACACTTGCAGAGCATTCACTTCCTGCTTTGAAAGTGCAAATGACCAGTGGCGTCACAAGGGGGGTGCGACCCGCACCCGGGTGACACCATTGGAGGGGTGACACCACATTGACTCACAGTCATTTTGGTGTCACCCCCCTCTGAAAAGTCAGGCGCTCGGTCATGGACCGAACGCCCGGCAGTATCAGTAGAGAGGAGGGGACCCGGCGGCATACCTTATCCCGCCGGGTGACTGTCCCCTCCTCTCTCTGCTGGCGTCCATCACCAAGATGGCTGCCGGCAGGTATCAGAATACTGACGCGCGTGCGCAATTTCATAGCACACGCGCATGCGCAGTGACGCCTCGGCGGGGTGACACTCAGTTACCGCTCTGGGTGTCACCCGGCCTCGGGACGCCCCTGCAAATGACTTCAGTTTGTCAAAGCAATGCACAATGGGATTGCCTTGTCATCAGCAGAGCGTTTGCTGGGAAATCTCATCTGTAATCTCAGGAGATCTCAGGGAAAGGTATTGTCCTCCCCTAAGATGATGTGCATGGTCACATGTCCTAGTCACATGTGCCAGAAATCCAGGAAGTAAAGAGAGATCTAGTAATCTGCTCTTAGAAAACATGGCCCCTGTCAGAAGACTGGGGAAGAAAAGAGAAATCAAGTATGCAAAGAATACAAAGCCGGCAATTATCTAGAAGTATGTGTTATAAGATTGTCATTACTAAACATGTCTAAAGGTGTGTTTGTTGTTATTTTTGGGTGAAAGTTTACTTTAAGTGATAGTTTTTCTAGGGGGCTCAAATAAGGCAGACTTACTCACCTGGTCCTCAGTCCTGTTGGGATGCTAGACTGGTCCCCACAGCACCTTCTCCCCTAGGCTCTTGCGGTTTAAGGCCCGCTGACATCATCATGTCTAATGCATGTCCATTGACTTGCATTAGATATGAGGATGCTGAGGGACATTCCACAGCTGGAGAGGAAGGGGGGAGAGAGGTTAGTGCTGACTGCAGCGAGATCAGGTGAGCATATCTGCTTTATTAACCCTTGCAGCACGGGGGAAGTCCCACTGCAAGGGTGCGTTTTTTTTTTCTTTACCCAGAGTTCATCTTTAACATATGCAGTATCTAAAGGCAGCAATGGCGGCTTCTACATTATCTCAGAAAAAGTTATCTTTAACAAGCAGAAATACCCTTTCACCTTAACAGATGCATCTAATAACTGTGCACCCCTGGGTTTCAGAATATGTATAACCCTCTCAGCATATACTGATAAATGGTTTTGTGTCTTCATAAAGTAGTGGCATCCATTTTATTGGCTGAATATTCATGAGATCTCATGCTGTCGGTTCCCTTGAATGTGACGACACCACTGAACCTTGATTTACTTGTGTGTGTGTGTATAGTGAATAGACCTGAGGAACTGGAGGATGAGAAATGAGGCCGTGCTGTATATTCAGCCTATTTTCATACATTTTCTTCCAATGATATACAGCATATAGAGACTATAAAAATATCCCGCTATCTCCTCTCTCCTTGTATCCTGTTTCCACATTGCAGTCACATCTGTTCACACTCAAAGATTAAGTAATGAGCTGCCCACACTATTTTTGCCCTCAGCACAATGTTCCCATCATGTTTACTAGAAGTTCTCGTGGTGGATACCTGGCTTGTCCGCATGGCAGAGAAGGATGCCATCACTTGACATACTAATACTGTCAGAGTGCAGAATGCCATAGAACAGGACAATCTTACATAACCGTTTAAAGTGACACTAGCCAAGAGTCAGCAGTTAAATCTTAAAAATGCATTCATGTACCTGAATTATTAACAGAAATTAGGGCTGGTAATGATTAAAATTTTCGTGTTCGATTAATCGAAAACATTTTTAATCGATTAATTTCGATTAATTATAACACACACAGATCCAACTACATTGGCCTATACACATACAGCACAGCAATGAAGTGATACAATGAACTAGGATCACACTAATCCAGCACGTTATTAATCTCACGTGCCCCACTCAATATGGCCGCCGTTTGAGTGAGGCAACTCAGAATAATAACGTGCTGGATTACAAATGTATTTACATAGTATAGTAAAACAGCAAAGCCCTAAGGGTGATTTTAAACATAAGTATTAGCTCAATATTTGAAGTAGCAGCTCCTGTCCATTCCATTTCATGTAAGGACCTGATTGCAACATAATATTAGTAAATTTCAATGGGCACATTTCTGGGAGCGAGATGGGGAAGGGGGGAGGAGTCCGGTGACGTCGATGTCCGTGACGTCGATGTCCGTGACGTCACAGGATCTCCGACGGGACTCCTGGAAGCTGGCGGAGAGGCGAGTCTTTTCATTTTTGATCAAAAGAATTTTAATCGATCAAAAAGTTTAACGATTAATCGAGGAATTAATCGTTAATTTCCCCAGCTCTAACAGAAATGTATCTTATTTGTGTATCACTCGGCAGTCGATCATCAAATCATCTCTGAATTGGTGCTGACACTGTCCTTCCTTCTGGAGGGGGGCTACTTTTGTTCCCCATGGTCCCTGTGTGTGTTGTAATGTAGCCACCATTCCAAGCTCACTCCTGTGATGGACTACAATCTCAATACAAATTAGTAAACTAATCATGAGATTGTAGTCTATCACCTGGAGCAAGCTAGGAGCAGTGACTACTTTACAACACACACATGGACTTTGGGGAACAAAAGTAGCCACCCTCCAGAAGGAAGGACAGTGTCAGCACCAATTCAGAGATGCTTGGTCTGGTGTGGAGATGATCTGGATGTGGTGTGAATGGGCCTTTAGGGAGAGTCACCCTATATTTGTCCTGGTGACCATTATCACTGAAAGTCAAATAAAAACCCAAATTTTGGGTTGTCACCAGAACAGGAATAAAGGTGAAACCTTCCGATAGGGACACTAGTACTAGTGATTGGGACACAGATAGTAAAAAAAGCTGGCAGGGCGACCTGTGGCAGTAAAACTGCAGGATAACTGCCTGTTTTATCGCCCCCTTGCCACCCATGTGAACAATGTCTTACTCTATCCAAAACTAAATAAAAAAGCTTTAGCTTTAATTCTGGAATCCATCTAATGTAGCTTATGCTTTGCTAGTTAAAGGAAAAATACTACTTCCCTGACAGGCTTGCTTCAATATGGAGTCATTGATCCAGAACAGGTCAGAGCTAGTAATTAGCATGCAGTGGATCAGTATGACGCCAGTCAACAAGCATTTTGTTTTAGCCAATGCAAAGTTAGTTAGGTGCCAATGGAAAAGCTAATGGAAAGCTAGCTAGATCTTTAGGAGCAAAATGATCAAGAAATGTATTACGTTTCAGGCGCTCCCTAAAATCTATGGGACAAGAAATGAATAATTCTGCCTGAAAAGAAGCCCTTGTACTTTTTGGAACTTCAACCTACAAGCGACAGAAAGCTCAGGTGTAGCAGGGCACCTACAGAAGGCTCATGACTTTGCTCTGTAAATCCCAAGTTACCACCGGTATTGGTCAACCAGATTCCCTGAGCTACACACACAGAGTTGAATACAGTACATAGTTCTCTGTGGATCCTTTCTCCGGATCATATGGTCCAGGCATTTATTGTATGTACTCCTCTCCCTGCAAATTCATGTTCATGAATGTTGAACTTCTGAAAGAATGAGTTTTAGAGGTCTGCCCCGTAAAGAGATAATAACTGGGTTTGGCAGTAGTTAGGCCACCATCCCTCAACTTTTTATAGTGTTCTGCTGACACAGTGATTCCTGGCATCTCGTACCTTCTAACTAAGATTTTTTTTTGCTGGTGATTATGCCATCTCTAAATCCTACCATTTACAACATCTGAGCCCTACAGAAGGGGGAGACCTCCTGAGCCCATGAAACGCGTTGGCTGTGTTCTGTTATCCTGGCATGGACTTATACTAATATAAAAAGAATTTGTCTCTTGGACCTTTTCTTTGACGTTCTTATTTGTCAACTTTTTATATGGCTGTTTATGTAGAATAACCTAGATAGTCATGTTGGTCTCCTCACTTTGGGTACATAATGCTCATCACAAAATCAATGGTACAAACAAAACACCCGCAACAAAGTTCACCAGAGCACACACAGTCACCCCAAAATATGAATTCTAACCAGGATATAAACCATCACTACTGTACTCAAAGTTTTCTCTGAGAATTTCTAGTTCCTTGCATCTCATGTTAAGTTACTTGTTAGATATGAAGATCTCTGTGTGAAGACCCCTCTCTGCCAATCCCTCCACTGGCTTCAGATCGCCAAAAGAATTATTTTTAAAATACTAACCACTTACAAAACCATCCACCACTCTGCCCCTGGATATATCACCAACTTAATCTCAAAATATCACCCAAAACATCCTCTACGCTCCTCCCAAGACCTCCTGCTCTCTAGCTTCCTCAACTCCTCCCACACTCACCTCCAAGACCTCTCCCATGCTCAGGAACTCCCTACCCCAATCTGTCCAGCTATATCCTACACTGCCTTTAGACGGTGCCTGGGAAACCTATCCCGCCTCTATTTAAAGGAGAACTATGAGATGAGTGATTTCCACTCACCTCATAGTTCTAGCCAACCTGTGACAATGAGACTGCCACAGGGCGGCTCAGTAGATC